CTGGCCCGGTGGTGATCCTGCGCCCGCTCCCCACCTTGCCAGCCTCCGGGCGCCTGCACCCACTCCATGCACCCCCTCTTGTCCCGCCTGCACGCCTGCCAACGCCGCTCTGCCTCTCGCCAGCCACCCCCCTGCACACACCCACACACACTCGCTGCCTCCCCACCAACACGTGTGCCCCTCACGCAATACACCTCCTCCCTCCACGTGCCTGCGTCACTCCCCGCACGCACAGCCCTGCTCCATGCCGGCAGGGACGCCCTGCACGCACGCTCCCCTGTCACCTCCCGGCCACCGCGGCCCCCCTCACTGCGTTTCACTCCTGGACTGCGGGAAGCAGCCCCCAGGCCGTGGCTCTGGCAGACTGCGCATACGATGACCAGGACTGCATCCATCCCGGGGACCCCATCCATGCCGGGGACCCCCATCCCACCCAGGGTGCTCGGTCCCACGCAGAGCTGTGCCTCCCCCGAGTCTGCCCAGCTGACACTGGGGACAGGGTCCCTCTCCTCCCAGGCCAGGGCTCACCTCACTGATGCAGGAGGTGGGCCACCCAGCGTGGCAGCAAAGGCTCCAGCACCGTCCCCATCAAGACCCTGCCCTCGGAGACCCCCTTAGCAGCCTGGGCCCCCTCTGTCCTGCTCCAAGCTCCCCGCAGTGTTAACCCCTCTCCTGCCCTCCCTGCCTGCCTGGCACAGCACAGCCCGTCTACACCCACAAGCATCCCAGCCCGCCCTCTCCAGGGATGCTCGTGCCATGGAGGGGGGGTCTCCGCCCTGGGGATGGCACAGGGACATTTCAAAACATCCCAGCACACGATGCTTCGGCCATGGGGACAGGACAGCCAGCCCCGATCCTGCCAGCTCCCAGCCCCACCACAGACTGGGGCAGAGCATCCCAGGAGGCATGCACGGCAGCAGGATGGATCCCTGCTCAACAGAGGAGGGGTCTGGGGACGAGCGAGGAGTTGGATCCCCAACCTCTGCCCCCAGTCCAAAAGAACAACCACAAGCACTTCTGCATTCAGTAGCTGAGAGAGACTGGGAACTCCTCCAGGAAAAGGGGAAAAAAGGGAAAAAAGCTGGATTTCAAATCAGAGAATGTGCTAATCACGGGCAGACTCAGGCACACATGCAGCAGAGCACGGGGAACGCTGGCTCCCCAGCCACCGTTCCCATTAACGCCAGGGACGGGAGCAAAGGAGCTGCTGACAGCACCATCCTCCCTGCGGGGCAGGCAGGGTCCCGCTCCAGGTGACGGAGGAGCGTCCCCAGTGGGCTGTCCGGCGAGCGTGGCAACAGGCAGGTGAGGCGGCTCAGTACTTACCCCAGCCGGGAGGAAGGGGACCGAGAGGATCATTGTCAGACGGGGCACCGGACGACTAGAGACAACAGAGAGGGCAAAAACACAAAATAAAACCAGGGCAGGGATGTCT